CGTGGGTACTCAAACACAAAGTCCACTCTCATCAGCCAAATGTCTGCATCGATCATTAACTCATTAAAATCATAACCAGGCCCAAGATATTTGTCAGTTAATTTCTGGTATACTAGTTTAGCCGCCAGCTTGTTTATTTTTTGTGTTATGATATGTAAAACCATGTTTGTAACTCTCTGAGAAAAGGTCATCTTGTCAGTATTCCCAGTTCCAGTCACAGGAATATAAGATAATGGTGATGGAGCTATGGAAAAATGAGCCTCCGTAAATATTACCCAGCGAACATTATAAACCAAAGGAAGGTTCAAATATTTGGCCAGAATGACTCCAACACCTGAACAGGGGTCAGCAAATAACAGGTCAAACTTGCTGTCTTTTAGTTTTCTTATCAAGTCGCTGTCATCTAGTACTGCAGATACAAAATCAGCTAGAGCTTTGTAAACATCAAGAATTGTGCTGAACATCCCTACACTCCTTTGAAGAATATCCGTCAAGGGGATGGCCCCTCGTTCGAAAAGTATGCCCTCGGACACAATTCTTGTCATGAATTTCTGAATCAAGATGTTCTCCACTGGAACTGTAATGGTATTATAAGATGAGTCATCTTTTAAATACCAGCTGTTACTTGGACGTAAAACAGTGATGTTGTGTCCTCTAGAGTCTAAAGCTTTTAGTAGAATGTCCATGTTTACCCAGTGGCTGCCTTCAGAGGGAAAAACTAAGATGTTACCTCCTTCACAGGCTGTGGGAATACGGATGAGCAGGTGGAAAGCAGTGCAGTAACAGATCGCCCTCATCTGAGGAAAAAAACAAACTCAAAGTTATTGACATGATTTCTTTTCCTTTCCTTGATTCTTTTTTTCCCCTTTTTTTGACGCAGTGGAAATGCACTGTTATAGTTTCAAATAGGGCTTTTTTTCTTTAACTTGGCTGCAATTTCATTACATCATTCAGTAGATAAAATTACTTCTTCATTTTTCCCCATTGTAAATTTTCCGATTTCGAAAGGGGGCGTCCTTGCCAAAAGGAGTATCCGAGCTTTAAAATTGTGCAAATAGTAGCGCATTAAAAACACTTATTAAAAGGACTAGTCCCTAAAACACACTAACAGTTCGTGTCCTTGGTAAGTATTATTACTTTGATTAATGCAGTCTGTTAGTTATTAAGTTTAAATGTGATTCCCAGACTATCCACGTTCTGAGCACCATTTTCTGCAAAGTTAACTTGTAAATTCCAGCAACATTCCTCAGCCAACATAAAGCCAGTAACACATTAACCCAGGTTTCCTACTTACTGTGATCATATCGTTCTTTCTCTTGGAAAGGTCAGTGTTAAGAGGGCTGCTTTGTGTAGCGACAAACCGAGCTGTATGTAATTATGTAGTCCATAGCGGAGGAGCTAAACCTCGATGCATCCGATGCAAGATGCACTAAAGCCCAGTATCTGTGAGTTTCCGGAAGCAACGGGTAATTTGTTCGTGATAATGAAGTTACTTATTGACTTTTATACCTAGATCGAAGTGCATGTTGACAATTACATCTGCTTATGTGAGTACTTTGTCTACTAGTCTTTATGGCTAAATGCATTGTCATTTAGGCATTTTTTTAAACACAATCCCAAACTCATTCAAGTTAACAACAGTACAGGGCAGCATGAAAACAGGTTTTCTGTCCTGTGTTGTGATGTCATGATGTTGCTG